GTGGCTGATATTGCGTGATGTAACGTATTTATGGTACTGTTCTTCGATTCATGGTTTGTTTAATGTCTCATCTAAAAACATCATTATTGCATACATAAGTATAAAATATAATAATACATAATAAAATAAATAGCTGCATCAAACAAAGGAAGCACACACTATCAATATCGGGCTCAATATCTGGAGCGAAATTGACATATAATGTTCTTTCAAGTAATAGTGGAATTTACATACTTTAATTCCCGTATGTTTCTTCACTAACACTGTCAACTGACAGCTTGAACATTCTTTACAGTATTAGATAGAAAGAACTTAAAATATACTTGAATATAACAAGCATGGACACTCCCTGGCCCTATATTTTCACTTGTGGCGGCCACGCCCAGGCATTTATGACCCGCGGGCCAATGGGAGCAGGCGAGTTTGAATGTGGCGTGCTGGTGTTTGTTTTGACGCGGCGTAAATCGGATTTGAATACATTATACCGTGCGGGTCATTTACGATTGAGGGCGGCCAGTCTTCAATGTGCACGAGAGAGAGAGGAAGACATGAGAGAAGCATGCATCAAGTATCTTATATACAATATACAGGGTTGCCAATTTGTGGGGAATTCCTCAAATTGCGACGAATCTCGCTTTAAGTGGATATTTATTGGAGATTGTCATTAAGCGGGGATTTTGATATCTTACCTTAAATAATATCGATAGTTTCAAGGTTAATTATTAGTACACGGTCGATTATCTTATTAGGCAGATATATCAATATTTTAATTCAATAATTTAACTTAAAGATAGTATGATTTGAACAAAAAGATAAACATAATTCAAATAGTTCAACCTTATTTAAATTTTTAAATTGATTTTGTGGGCAATTTCTGGGGAATCCGCAGTATTTTTTCGCCAAATTCGGCATCGACAACCCTGTTTATATAGAAAGAGTACGGCCACGATTGTAATCACCACGTTGCCTGGCAACGACAGCGAGGAAGGAGGGCCTATTTTGTAATCACCACGTTGCCTGGCAACGACAGCGAGGAAGGAGCGAGGCTGTAACTTACCGCGTCGGCAGTTTGTTGCTAAGATTGCTTTCTACGCCAAAATAATGGTTTTATTTTTTGAGCGAACTCATTTATCAATTGCGAATTGCATCGAATCTATACAGAATATGGCACGGGTATTATGTAAAAAACCTTTCAAACGTAAAAAAAACTATTAAATGTCATGTTGCAGACTAGGTAGTTTTTAGGGTGTAACAGTCATTCCACGTTTGATCACTAAGATCGATGTGATCGTTCATCTATGGAGGAATGGCTCAACTACACGCATTGCTGGTTGCATATGTCTTGTGAAGTCGAGTAGTCGATAGTTTTCATCTTTGAGAAGGAAGTTGGTTGAATAGCAAGATCGCATTTGGATGATTTTTTGTATTGGTCTGCATGTGAATAAAATAAAATATTTGCTGTGTGAGAAAATCATTACGAAATATGCCGCGAATTAAGTTTATCTATTAGCTGTGCCCGACGGATTATTTATACGCTGTCCTTTCTGAAATTAGGTTATGTTTATATACTAAGTGACATATAAATCCGAACACCCAGTTTAAATGGTTTTATTTCAATAAAAGTTGGTGAATGTATTTATCTTACTGTAAATAACGAGTGAAAAAATTTTCAGCCTTATCAGTCGGACTTTCCGGTTTTTATACTGCTTTTTTTTTGGTTCTTGACATCCTTTACGATCGGTTACGATGCCTAGAGTACGGAGACCTGTACGATTTCGTCAACTTAGTGAGTTTGATAGGGGCCGTATCGTGGGACTTCGGGAAGCTGGACTTTTTTTTCGGGCAATTGCAGTTAGAGTGCAAAGAAGTGTAGACACTGTGGTTAGGTGTTGTCAGGCATGGCTTCGAGAAGGCCGTACGCAAAGAGCAAGGGGCACTGGACGACGCCGTAGAACAACAGACCGTGAAGATCGCCGCCTAAGATTATTGGCCTTAAGGGACCGTTTCTCCACTACCAGGTCCATTGCAAATGGATGGCTTGCAGAACACAGAAGACCTATTGGCATGCGAAGTGTTTACCGACGAATGAGAAGTTTTGGCTTGTTTTCATACCGCCCACACTGGGTCCTCCCTTTAACTCGAGAACACCGACGTAATCGCCTTGAGTGGTGCAGACAACGGTCACTCTGGGATCAGGAATGGAACAGTATTGTCTTTAGTGACGAGTCTCGATTTTGTTTAGGCATGCACGATGGTCGTGCCAGGGTTAGAAGGCGACGTGGTGAAAGGAGGAATCCACAGTTTTTTGTTGAAAGACATGTTCATCACACTGTTGGAGTTATGGTTTGGGGTGCTATAGCTTATGGTTCCAGGTCACCTTTAATCTCCATCCCCAATTGAGCACGTGTGGGATATGATGGGTAGGAAATTGCTCAATTTGCAACGTCCTCCTCAGACTCTAGAAGCACTTCGAGAGGAGTTGATGGTTGCCTGGAATGAGATACCACAGGAGGACATTGACCACCTAATCAGAAGCATGCCTAGGCGCGTTGGAGAATGCGTAGCACATCAGGGTGCATCCACACATTATTAAAGGTCAAAGGGCTTTAAAGCAGTGCAATCATTTTGAAATTTTTATCATTTACTCATTATGCTTCATTAAGTAGGTACTTATACAAAATTTTATTAAAATAAAACCATTTAAACTGGGTGTTCGGATTTATATGTCACTTAGTATAGTTATAAATTACGATTTTTTACGTTTTTTGTGTTTTCGAAAACTGAGCAGAATTACGGGAAATCACCACCGCGCCCGCGTTGTGTGTAATTACTGTTGACATGTATAGATAGATAGATAGATAGATAGTCTTTATTGTCTTTTGGTCATAAATAGCTATGACATAAGACTTGTCAACATTACATATACAATACATAAGTATGCGATATGCAAAAAAAGAACAGGTAGCTAATTAAAACGGTAATTGAGATAATAAATAATAAACAAATAAATCAATAAAATAGTAGTCATTACAAACACAAACAAATTCTCAATGACATCTAACGAACATGAAAAAATAAATAAATATATTATATATATGACTTGTAATTCGACGGTGTGTATATAATTATTTCTTATCTCTCTCACTTTTTGAAATTCAGCTTATCTGCGTATGTAATTGAATGGATAAGAAAACTGGATGCGCAACTAATTTCTTGCTTTGAATCTCAAGTAAAAAAGTATTTGAGACAAGAATTCAATCGAATTATCATCAATACATATTATTAGCACATCTAAGTACATCCTCACTATGCACCTATGCATTGCCGTTATCTCCAGTAATGCCATCTCTGAAGCAGATTTTATATCACATTAGAGCCAAACATTGCTGACTGAAGCCTCATGACGTTTAGGCAACATGTACAACTACAAATCGAGTTCACAACAAGTGGCCATCAGCTAGTGCATCTTGTACATAGAAAAACCTACATAATGTCACAAAAAAACAATATAATGTCAAAAAAAATCGACATATGTCACTTGTCAAGATACTAATACCCGTGCGGATCGGTCTTAACAGTTCTCCTTCTTTTAGGTAAAATTATTATGGAACAGAAAGTTCAAGATCGTCATCTTTACCACTCCACTAGTGGGTGAGAAGGAAATAGGGGCTTGGTTAAACAACCAGTTGGCCAGCCATTCATTTCTTGATTGATCAACTTGTAAAAATTAATTACACTTTCTTTCGCCTTACATGTATTCCTCAAATATATGTTATCGAAATAAGAAAGCTTAGTTACGGTGATTGGAGGGCTTATTTCGTAAGGTTATATTTTCCTGATACAGCTCTGTTGCCAGTATTTGTAAAGCTGTAGCTTATTTAAAATAATTTCAAGTTATAAAAACATATTAGTTAGAATATAATAGAAATATGAGTTGTAGATCACTGACAAACATAAATGCAAGAAATAGGCAGTGTTCCTTATAAATTGAATTATCCTGATTCTTGTTATGTATGCAATGTGGAAAGGTAGCCTTTTATAATAGTTCTGCTGGTTTTGTGATCACTTACGCTGTGGTTCTATGATTCTAGACCTATTCATTTTTTGTCCGATTTAGACATAAATATTAACGAAATTTTTCTACAAAACAGTTAACAATTTCCGTCACGTTGGAATCGAAAACACTAAACAACCTCCTATGACTGCCAGTAGACGGAGCTGTAAAATTACCACGCTTCTCTTTAGTGGTCATAAAAAGTCTTTTTTGTCGACATTCGTTATTTGGTATCGCTGTCAAAAAAACGTAACGAAAGGCTTAATGACTCGTTATTTTTATTGCAGTAAAAACTATCTACTGCCGGTCCCTGTGATCTTCGAGCCCCCCAACTGTTTGGTGCGTTGTAGCTAAAATAAAAATCTGACAAAGCTACAAAACTACTGAATTTCATCAATTTGGTATTTTAGGATGATTTCAATTCGATTAACAGATTTTTCATTTTCACCACTCCCTGACACATTGTGATTCATTCATTTTCGACTTTTGAATAAAACTGTCCTCTTTTTTGTCGATCAGATTTAATGGAATGTTCTATCTGTTTGTGTCTATTCTGTTTATTATTTGGTTTTCTTTTCAGTATAAAACCAATTCTTAAACATGTATGTCTTTCACTGTAATCTCGGTTGACCATTTTTTTAATATGAGCGTAATATTAAGTGACTATCTATATTTTTTAAAAATAGTTTCAGTTATTCTTATACGACTAAAATTAATTGCAGATAAGCCGGTTACCCAAGAGTCTGAAAAACAACTAAAACTACGACAGCGAATATAATAATGATTCGTTTTAATCAATTTTCGAATATCTAAAACAAATCTGGTGGTCATCACTAAAATTCCATTTGGTTTCCTAAGACCGGTAACCTGGCACCTTTATAGGGGTCAACATTATGGATTATTCAAAACATATTCTTTTTTTATAAGTTACTGATTTTTGACATACCAAAGATTTTTTGACGAAACTGGTGCTCTTTTTGCCTGGTCTCGCTCTTTCAACCGTGGAATATCTCCATGCATCAGATGAACGGTTTGTACTTTCGGAGATTTGCACATGTGATAGATTGTCATTGTGGTCTTCTTCAGACAATACAATATCCACTGTGGCGGCGTCATCATAGCCACCCCAACTCACCTGTAATGATGGGAACAAGTATAAATATTACAAGCATGTCATACGTCTTGCATTCGTTTGAAGGAGATTTCGGAGAAAGAAATGCAATATTCAAAGTAATGCAATAGTTACTTTGGTGATAGATATTAATTATTCAACAATCTATAAATGTGAACGTGTTTCCAATCAGTCAGCATGACGTCTGAACTACTACGAAGTGACGTAAAAATGTGTACACTTGCTAATTTATACCCGAGGAAGAGGTTATAGGCATGATTCTATCCTCAAACTCATCACTATATTTGCAGGGTGTCTATGAAATACCCGAACACCCCTAAACCTTGACAACAACTCATTTTTTGGCGAACTTTTAGGATAACAAAGGTAATTTTTCGATTACCCATATAAGCTCTAAGGAAATTGACACTCCATTAGTATGATCAGAGTGAGTTTTCCTGTAACTTTCCTTTATATCACTCACATATATAAATTTTTGCTCAGAAAAAAAATATCACCCTAAACCTGCCCCTAAAATGTAAAACACTACCGAACTGAAAAAGGCCACAAAGGTGATCGAAACGTTAGTATCCTTCCCTTAATATTTGTAGTTCCATTTATCGGCCACGAAAACGTAGAAATAGTTTCTTTCTTTCAAGTCCTAATGTTGACTGTTTAACTTACTTTACTGTTTCTTCTTTCCCCCTCTTTGTTATCTTCTCCTTCTGATTCTATTTTACCTTCTTCACCTACTCCCTTTTCGTCGTCTGCTCCTTTTTCTTCTGCTTCATCTTCCTTTTGTTCTGCTTCCTCTTGATCTGCATCTAATGTTCCGATAAGTATGGAAGCGTCACTGACATCATCTGAAGTGGGGGTACTTTGACTGTCATGCGTGCTTTTCTGGAAGCACCATTTCATGTAAAGTGGATTCAAGTCCGACCATTATTACTTTTTGACTAGAAACTCAATACGTATTTGATAGAACAACATAGAGAAATGTTTTTAAATACTTATTCAGTGATCATAATGAGAATCATCGTATGCAATGTACCAGAACAACCTGGTGATTCGTCGTATTTCTTTTAGGACGTTAGACTCTACCTGAAATGCAACATATTTCACCCCATATTTACATGTATGTGCAAAAACGAATAATTCGAGAGATATTTCAAAATTTGTAATTTTTTAACAATGACCCGAAGTTGGACATATCAGTCTGAATAATAAGCAATCTCAGTGATATATGGAAAAGAGTGCAATTGATTTTTGTAGTTTGCACTAAAATTAAGCAAACATAATCATAAAATATGCTGGAATACTATAGAAAACAGCTATTCTGAGAAACAGTATGGTTTTCAGTTTTATTTATAACATAGTTGTGTTTAGCTAGTAAAATTGCTTGTACATCGAGTACAAATTACTTGAAGAACTTTGTTAGCTCCCTATAATGGAATTAAAGATCAGTTGTGATATATTGCTCAATTCGATCCTTTTAGTCGGAAATAAGGACTGCATTTAGTTTTTTGCTCCTGCTTTTGTCTGCTTTGAGGTACAAAATGGCCTTTAATTGTTAATTGTTTAATATATCGAGTACTCTGTAAAATATCGGTGCCTGTGTTGTGTATTTTCTATCTAATCTACACACAGTAGTATACAATGGCTAGAAGACCTCGAATTTTCAAGACAAGCTATGCAATTTTTGTTGATCATGTTTTTCATATATTGATTCTAAGATTATATGAATTAGTTATCTATATAATTGAGAAAAAAAATAATATTTTAATGAAAATGTGCCATGTAGCTTGTGATGGGTGGGACATCACTTTGAGGGGAAGGCGAGCAACATGCAGGGCTGCATAGGTTTGAGAAAATTAATACAAATCCCTTTTTATTCACATTAAATGAGGTTTTTATTATATAAAAAGTAACAAAAATTCCTATTATTTTTTCTCGACCAGTTCTTTAAATCCCTATCTCCGCTTGTTTTCATGACAGGTTAAGGCAAAATCATTGACTTGCTTCAATGTATGAAATATCAGTTTCATTAAAATTCATAAAAATCTATAAATTTGTTGCATGAACTTTAGTTTAGACATGGATTTTAATTCACAATCGTTGATTTTTACTTTCCACGCCAACTGGCGGGGAAGAATTGTAATCGCCAAAATTTTCGAAAATGAGATATTAGGTTTTTTGGATGTTATATGACATGTACATCACGAAAAAACATCTATGTTGGTGTGTGTATGTCGGTCTGTCCGCTAATTTTATAACTTGAGAAGTACCACTCGGATTTTGATGAATTTTTGTAGAGAACGTTAACACTATTCCAAGGACGCAAAAACTTTTCTGTTTTTGAAAATCGGTCCAGTGGCGGCAGTGAAAAAGGTCAAAAACTAAAAAAAAATAAAGGTCGCTCAAACTTTTTTGACGTTTCAGAGGTCACTGATCATTTTTGAAAAACATTTTAGAGATACAAAAAGTTGGAGGTGGGGGGTTGTTGGGGTGGGATAAGTTAGTAAGTATCCGTACTTTCAAACAGGTCACTACAATTAGTCCATAACATTCGTTCCCCGCCCTACCCATTAGTATCGTAGATCTTAAAAATAAGAGTCCCAATTACCAGAATACCCTGTACAAGAGAAATTTCTTTCCACTAGCGTCCATTAGAAGCGAGCATCGGGAAAGCTTGGCATTTTTTTATTATTGTGACAACATCCCACATATGTAAAACCTTGTACAAAGTAGCGATAAAAATAGCAGAACAATTTACTTCGGAGATCGTATCAGCTGTACAAGTCGTGTCCTGGCTCACAATGCATACAGGTGACTGTGGTCGGCTACTTGTGGCTACGATGATGTTATTGTCATCTGGATCATCAGAGGGTGCTGAACAAGCCGCGTCGTTCATGAGGAAGTGGTACTTGCCATCTCCAGGAGTCTCTCCGTGGGTTTTGGAAAACGCCGATATGTACATGGCTGAAATCACCAAAAGAATTAAGAACGGATCGGGAGTCTATGAGAGGATTTTCTCGCTCTGAAAATGACACAAAGCTCAAGCTGGTTGCATCTATATATAAATGTTTTGCTTTTGAGTATTTTAGAACAAACTTATGTATTTTAAACACCCTTGAATCTATTTTATTGTCTTTTGAAGTGCCAAATTTGGTAATTTTTCCATTTTTGTTCAAAATTCGCTCATTTTGAAATTGGTATATCAAGCCACTCGGTCTCTGTGGGAAGAAACAACTACTCGTGATTGTGTTTACTGTGCAAATACCTACCAAATGGATCATACATAGCTTTTTCTTCTATTTCTTTAGGTTCTTCAGAATAGCTCTGGGCCTGCAGATAAAGCTTCTCATAATTAGCGATTATATCGTTAGTATTGTCATCGCAGATCTTTTTCTCCCCACATTTCTCTTCATGGCAGCATTCAAGGCACTCTTGGCAACGTTGTTTATTAATTTCCTCATCAGTTTCAAGCCCAGTTATTTCTAAAAAAATCAATTTTACATTACTTGTGAACATATACAGTATTTACTGTCTTAAATGTGCAATCGGTCCAAAGCTCCATTATTTTAAAAGGTATCTAAAAAGTGGCATCAAGTAGGTTGACTCTGAGCTTTCCAAGTAATGCTGTGATCAGCTTAAAAATGATTATGTGAGGCACAAGTTAACCTCTCCGAGAGAAAATTTAGCTACAAAAAGCTTAATCCAATCTGCATATGAATGCATTCAATCATTTCTCCAATGTCATCGCTCCTTACACGTGAATCCACTGCGCCCCTTCGAAATGAAATATTCCATGCTATGCCACTGTGCGTTTGTATGATTTGAAATACGTATACGCGTTTATTGAAAATATTCAATCATTTCAAGTTTTAAGCGAAAATTGGAGAAATATACCCGGAAATCAATGATGCGTAAAATATGTCTTATAGGTGCATAAAATTACTGAGGCTGAAAACGTATAAATATACTAATGAAAAACACTCTCTAAAATCCCTAATCCACAATTTTTAAGCCCTACAAATTTTTTTCCGAAAAAAGTCAGGAACCTCTAAATCGCCAGAAATCAAGCTTAAGCGCTTTCAATTTTTTCATTGTATCAGGTAACCAAATAAGTTCGTGCGGTTTTTAGTAGAAAAATATAATTTTTTATTGAGAAACAATAAGACACTATTTATTCGTCGAAGTAATTACCACCACATTCAATGAACTTTCGGTGCCTCATACAGTTGTCAAGGGACAAAAAAAGGTGATAATCACTGGGCGAAATGTTGGGAAAATATGGCGGGTGCGGTAACGTTTCCCAGACGAGTTCAGAAATTTTTTCTCGATATACAGCAACCGCACGAACCTATTTGGATACCTGATATTTTGCATATAGCTTTGCTGCCAATGGACCGATTTTCAGAAACTGCATCATTGTGTCCTTGGTTTAGTACAAACTTGTGTGAGAAGTTCATCAAAATCCGACTGGTACTTTCCAAGTTATGGCCGGCCAAGGATTAGCGAACAGACCGACCGGCAGATAGACACACAGTCCGACAGAAATGAGTTACATTATGTGAGTCGGTTTTGACGTTATCGATAAACTTCTTTTCAGAAACTTTTGTTACATGTTTTCGAAAATTATTCGGGTATTTAATATTATACATATGTCCACTCACCTACCTCTTCCCCAATTTCTTCTCCAGATGAACAACAGGTACCTCTACAGGTGCCACCAGTCACGTCCAAACATTTCTTTCTAATGTAAACTGGACCATCTAACAAAAGGTAATCATCCAGCTGATCTTTACTGCTAAGTTTCTCCTTCAAGGCTGTAGTACATTTTATTAACGCTCTTGACCCATTGCTCTTGATGGACCAAGAGCTTGCTTGAGCTTGAAATGATTTCAAAGATGCCTTAGATGGGCATTTGGATGATATTATTTTTCGGCACTTGCGACAGCTTTTGTTGGATGTCGGACCTAAGAAAAGAAATGAAGAAGTTGCGTTACCATTACAAATGGTTCCTTCGTCATTATGGTAAATCCAAAACAATGGAGCTTTGAAACGACAACAGACAGTAGAATTGGAAAAACATGCCTTCAGGTTTCCGCATTTCGACCTAGCTGGAGTGAACATTAGAAGCCTGGCGAGTCCATTTAGCGTCTCAAAACGTTGCTGCGAAGATAACTTCTGAGACAAGCATTTTTGTACCGACAGTACATATATGTATGTTGCTGGCATAGCGGAATTTCATTTTTTTATGAACTTCCTAGGCATTTTTAGATTACCACACCGATTCAGAAAAAGTGTTAAAATGCAGGCAAAATTAGAACAAAACAAGATACAGGCATAATATGTTTTGATCAACAAATTTTAGACATTTTATCAATTTGCTTGACGTCAAGCGAAAAAAATAGAACCAGTTTCCATTTCAAGTATATAATTGATAATGTCATGGACCTGACGAATGGCCTCTTTATAGGCCACATACCTCAAAATAAATTCTTAAAACTTGGTTTTCCAGAAATTATATTCAATAATCCTCGATAGGTGTTAAAGATGAAGTTTCTGGTCAACTCGTTTATCTAACAGAGGTAATTTCATATCTGCCACGATTCAGCTTTCGGAGATATCAAAAATATTTCTGTACAAGTTATAGTGTAACATAAAGAGATGTGCAAGTTTTAAAAATAACAACGTTTGCTTTTCCAAATGCAATGAAAGTTCAACATGCAGTAATAAATAAATATTGAACCATAAACAATATAAAAGATATTTTATCATTTATAAATAAATCGTTATTAATTTTCATTTGTAGTTTTATGTCAATAATAGGCATATTCTTCACTTCTATGTACTTAGTTATACTTCACACTAGCTGGATTATAATAGGAATACTAGTATTTTCATTTTACCATTGATTAATGTATATTTTACTGAGTGGTAACTGTCTATGTCTCTTTTTTTCAATAACACGATTAATTACTGCAATATCTGATACGTATACTGTGGTTTTCATGTAAAAGGTTATTTCTACATATGTGATTTCATTTGGCCAGAATAATGTGAAGTTCTGTGACGATTAATCAAGTTTACTGCAACCATGCAGTATTTTCTGTTGTATTTTCACGTTTAGACAGAACCGTTCCCGCCATTTTATCAATTTGCCTAAATTAGTGTAGCCATAACGAACTACGCTGTGTTCGCACGCATTTTGCTGGATTTTTATAAAACGCCTCGGAAATTTATTAAATACCTGAATTTCGATTATGCCTACTACGTATCCATCATTAAAGAGTTTAACCGAAAATAGATCTATCCCGAAAGTGAGGAAAAAATATTATTTTTTATAGATATCATGGAAGATGCTGGCGTACTTCTTCCTGGGGTCTCAGATTCTATTCTTTGAATAGCTTTTCTACATTTGGTGCAGTTTGCTTTTCTGTTTTGCTCTCCAGGTTGAATTGAGCTATCCTTCGTGACGTTTGAGTTGACTGGTCCCGCGGAGCTCGATTTTTGTGTGGAAAATTGTGCACTATTAGATTTTGACGTGGTCATTCCATGACAGCTGTTAATGTAAGAAGGTCAGTAGTTCAGTTGGCCGTTCGACTTGACCTCATTTCACTGGTCGACAATGCACTGACCTGTCCAACAATGATGAATTCGTATCTCAAAGCAGCTAGGTTCAATATTTTCTCAGGATTATCGTTCCACTAGCCTGCTCTTAGCTCCTTTTGACATCACCAAAAAGGTGATTCTGATTTGGCTTTCGATTTGAGCATAGTACAGAGCCACAGCCACTCAGGCTGGTAGAATGAGCATGGCATCACCCTCAACAAACGTATTCGCATCTTGCTTAGGTTGTATTCACAATCGATGTTGGATGCCCACCGAATGTGCTTCGTGTACATCCTATTTCTTTGATTAAGCTTTCACGGTGACTATGATTAAAATTACCCGTAGTTCGTAGTTCAGACCAATGTTTGTTCGATAACTTGTATATACATTTTTTTTGATCTTAGTATATTTATATGCTCTCAACACCGGTACTTATTAGCCATATTTCACACATCATATATTTCCCCATACACTTGCCTTTAAGGCTTAGAGTGATAGAGAAATGTTTTCGAGCCCCGTACTCCGGCACTCTAAGCTCACCGCTCGACGAACCTATTCATACTGAAGTGCAAGAAATATGTAGAACCATGGACAAAATAAACGATACCAGGCTGCAACGATACCGATCCTGCGCAGATGTTGAAAGAGACGACGTTGCCAGATGGATAATAACTACCGGTAGGGCAAGGAAAGAATGTCTATGAACTACTTGTATGGGCCTGTTTGACTGATTTGGTCCGTTTACAAGGAGGCCCAAACCTGCATGGGTGGAATATTGCTCCGAGGCATAAACTTTGTCCAAAAATTGTGTTGGATTATAGCCTGGATAACTAAGTTGTATAGAGGTACTTACAGTCTTATTATATATTCGGACTTATCTACATACTTTAGAGTTTTATTGAGTACGTGTTGCAATAATATTCATGTATAGAGACAGAGTACTAAGTTTTTTTTAACATATCCTATAGCCTCCAGTATCCCAAAGACACGTAATTAATTGTTCCTTAAAACGTTCAAATAAGATACCTTGTATATTTTTACATTTTACACAACCCATTACTTCTAAATTGTTTTAAGGTGCCTAGTCAAGTATGTTTATGTGACGAAACTAGTGAAACCTCTACTTAAATATGCATTTTTTCACTGTATCGACTGATCAGGAGATCGAAAAGTCTACTATTGCGGCCACCGCTGCTGCCTGAGTTACTAATGTTTGGCTCTGATGTGATGTAAAATCTGCTTCAGAGATGACATTACTGGAGGTCTAAACTGTATGTTGTATGTGCTGATAATAATTACATTGGATTCTTGTCTCAAATACACTTAGTTGAGATTCAACGCTAGAAATTAGTCGCGCATCCACTTGCTGAATTTCAAAAATGAGAGAGATAAAAAATAATTATATTCACTGTACACTGTCGAATTACAATCCATATACATGCTAACAGTAATTAAACACAACGCGGGCGCGGTGGTGATTTCCCGTGATTCTCCTCAAAGTTTAACGTAATTTATAACTGTGAAGATAACCTCTCTTCAGAAAGCACAAGACAAATAACTCGTCGGTTACAGCTAACATACGTCATTGGTAGCATATTCAGTAATGATTTTCTCATACAGCAAATAGGATCACTGATTTTATACACATGCAGACCAATACACATAATCATCCAGATGCGATCTTGCTATTCAACCAACTTTTTTCTCAGAGATGAAAACTACTGACCACTCGGCTTCACAAAATATATGCAACCAGCAATGCGTGTAGTTTAGTTGAGTCATTCCTCCATAGATGGACGCTCATAACGATCCTAGTGAGCAAACGTGGAATGACTGTTTTCACCCTAAAAACTACCTAGTCTGCAGGATGACATTTTATAGGTTTTTTTTTACATAATACCCGTGCGGGTCGTTATAGTTTCGTATTTTTTAGACAAAGTACGTAGTAATCAGAAAAACGTAATGAAATACAGAGGTCAATCCAAATATGTAGGTAATACAAAATAAAAAGTAATTTTGATATCCAGCACAGTAGTGAGATACCATGTATAATCCTTCGTCGAATGTCGGACAATCCTGGAAAATTTTCGCAAAAGTTTGTGTCTCGAGACAATACTAAGAAACAATGTCGCCTAGAAACACTCCATTCATGCAAGTTTACACCACCCTGTAGCCAGTAGGAATGATGATAACAACGATAATAAATGTCAAAGAATCATTATATGTCGAGTATGGTACCCACAATACGCTGCAATAGGGCACGGATTACCCAACTTGGAGGGTCCAATATCTCGAAAAGTATGCGTGAAATAACTTTGAACTCACGCCATTCCTCATAAGCATTCTGCGAGGTCTTTTAACTACAACCCACTTATACAAGATAATAAAAAAAGGTGCGTTCTGCACCTACCCACATCAGCATTTCTGTTTGGAATGAAGAGTATTTCTTGGACATTAAAATGAAATTAAGAGCACTTTACTTAGAGTGAGTAGCATCGCAATTACCTCGTTCAATGTCATATTGTGCAAAGCGCGTCATAATCTTATAATTAATTGTGAATCGTTGCATCGCCAGAGAGCGATGATGACTGTCCATAGGCGGAGATGTGAAATTATTAATGGCGTAGGCTTCAAGCTTATCGCTTGATTGCATCAGCTAATTATTATAATAAAGGAATTGACGGAATAGTGGATACGTATTGAAACTGAAGAGACTTCAAATCAAGATGTTAGCGTAGTTGACTAAACGTTTGATTGCTGCAGATTGCGTTACACCGCATTTTGAATACTCGTGGCACAATTCGAGAAATATGTGCTTCAAAGTATATGCAGTGCTTTTTTCGAGAGAATTTTAAAATCGAATTTTTCGATAAAACAGTAATCAATTACTCATGACGTGCGATACCTGCTATTCAGCAAAAAAAGATAGAGTAGATTAAGGCAACTTTACATACGACATAGTATATCCACGTAAACAAGCAAAATACGCAAAAAATCTGTAACTTAAACTTTTGTGGCATTCGTAGTCGTTGTAGCGGATTAAAATTCCAATATTGCAAGGTATGCTGATAATTTTTAATAGGTTAATATCCTTTCTTCATATCCTGCAATGTTTGCTACTCCACATCACTCACATTGGCCGATTTTTTTAGATACTATTAAATGTACAGAACAAATACCAAAAAAAACATTGAAGAGTTGTTAAAGAAATATTTAAAAATAGGAAATAAGTTACCAGAAGTTTCGTTTAGGGACCTGTATGTCCGTAGAAGAGCCTTGTGAGACATTTTTATAGGATGCTGTTGCATTATCTTTTGTGTTCTCTATGCATTCATGTTATTCTGGGACACCCTGTAGATTGTGCAACAACAATACTATAATACGTATACCCAAAATAATCTCCTCTTTTCATGATCTGCACGGGTATCATATAAAAAACCTACAAAACGTCAAAAAAAACTTATAAGATGTCAACTTGAAGACTAGGTAGTTTCTTAGGGCGCAAGCAGTCATTCCACGTTTGCTCACTAGGATCGTTGTGAGCGTCCATCTATGGAGGAATTACTCAACTAAACTACACGCATTGCTGGTTGCATATATTTTCTGAAGCCGAGTGGTCTGCAGTTTTCATCTCTGAGAAGTAAGTTGGTTGAATAGCAAGATCGCATCTGGTTGATTATGTGAATTGGTCTGCTTGTGTATAAAATCAGTGATCCTGTTTGCTGTGTGAGAAAATCATAATTGAATATGCTGCCAATGAAGTATATCTATTGGCTGTGCCCGACGAGTTGTTTTTATGTTGTGCTTTCTGGAGAGAGGTTATGTTCAAAGTTATAAATTACGAAAAACTGAGGGGAATTACGGGAAATCGTCACCGCGCCCGCGTTATGTGTAATTACCGTTAGCATGTATATGGCTTGTAATTCGACAGTGTACAGTGAATATAATTATTTCTTATCTCTCTCATTTTTTAAATTCAGCAAATTTGTATATGTAATCTCCAGAGTGGATAAGAAAAGTGGATGCGCAACTAATTTCTAGCTTTGAGTCTCAATTAAGTGTATTTGAGACAAGAACCCAATGTAATTATCATCAACACATACAACTTACAGCTTAGACCTCCAGTAATGTCATCTCAGAAGCACATTTTACATCACATCCGAGCCAAAGATTGATAACAAGTCTCATGACGTTTAGGCAATACGTACAACTAAGTGCTAAGTTAACATCTTGTAGAAAAACCTACATAATGTAAAAAATAACAGCATAATGTCAAAAAAAATCGGCATAATGTCACTTTTCAAGTATTACATAACTTAAAAAGTGACAATATTGATTTTTTGACATGATGTGGGATTTTTATGACTATAGACGATTTCTTACAAAATGTTAACTTGGAACTAACTGTCGTTCACTTCATGTTCACTTGTAGTAGCTGTGCGTGTTGCCTAAGGGTTATGATCTTTGAGCTATATAGTTTGGACACAGCTTTAGATCTGATTAATGGATCCTCCGCTTCAGAGATGACAACGTTGGAAGCCTCAGCTGTGAGTTGTATACTATATATAGCTTGAAAGAGACACTGCAGAGCACAGGGTACTAATAATCTGTGTTGACGGCAATTCCGTTGGTTTCTTGCCTCAAATACAGTTACTTGAGATCTATATGAAGCTAGAAATGAGTTGCGCATCAACTTTTCCTTACTCATCCTGGATATAAAACATGCAAATTTGTTGAATTTAAAAAAATGTCGGCAGTATTCGTAGAACACACTATGTTTAATTTTTAGGATACTCGTTTTCTAAATATCCAAAGAAGCGCCTTTAAAAATGATCAGGAATATTATTTCAAAAACATTCTTCTCACGTGAACACTCCTTTTATGAATATTCTAAGAATATTCTTTAAA